GTGAAAAAAAAAAAAAAGAAACCTTCCTCAGTCTAAAATAACTCAAGTAGTAAGGGAGAGAGCATCCCGTGAACACTTCCTACATAACTGATGCTCTCTCAGTCACCCTAAGCAGACTGACTTTTAACTTGAGACAAGGAAAGAGGCGACAGATACTGATAGTGGGAACTGATGGCCACTTTTCTTCCCTCCTCTATCTGAAGATTTAGTTTAGCCCTGAAACCTCTTCTTCAGCTGCTTAAATAGTAATTAAAAATGATATACGTATTATTATTATCTCCCAATAAATATGTATGTATATTTATTTGGATAAACACACATATGTATATATTTACACATAACCATTGTAACACTAGGACCCAACCAGAGTCTACAAGCTGAGGAGTAGAAGAGCAAATATATTTAATAAGAGAAAATCACATCACACTTTGACATGATTCTTGGAAGTGATGGAGCGTGGGAGTCCCTGAACCACAAATGAAATAAAAAAAAACAAAGAGAATGGAGCAACTTCTCTGCTCTTCATTTCTTTTCTTGACCTGGATTTAAAAACCCAGATTATGACACAAGGTCGAAATGTCCAAATTAGTTTTTAAGGCTGTGGTAGACACCCCCCCCAGAGCAAAACCACCATCATCAAATGTTACTAGAAACAAAAAAGTGTTTAAACAAAATTCTTGAAGGGATCATGTAAATAAGCCACAGCTTTTCAAAACTACAGGTTTGAGTTTTATGTACAAATGAAACACCGCAGCTTACATTTGCCGAATAGGCACTATGTGAAGTTATTTACCTGAAAAATAATCTTATATTCAATTTTCAGAAAAATCACACTGTATTATTGGGAAAATGGGAGTTAGGAAAAAAATAGGGAGGTGTAGTCATTTGCTCAAGGCTTGGGTCTGATTCAAATGTCTGAGCTCTTATCTTCAATTTTGAAAGTAACAGAAAAGGCAAGAAGGAAGAAGGAACGAGATAAAAAGAAAGGGAAGACAAAGGTGGAGAGGGGATTGAAGAGGAAGAGAGAGGGGAAAGAAAATCGTAATGATTTGCTTTTAAACTGAGATTTTAAGGCCAATGACAGGAGGCTCTCTCAATGGGACACCTTTGTAGAAGTCATCTTTCAACACGTGAGACCATTTCTCTGGCCTGTATAGCATAGCACACACATACAATCCTGTTAGGAGCTTGCTTCTCCCCACCTCAGACTTTTCTGCCAGCAGACATCTGCGTGCTGTGTTCTATTCCTACGTCTGATGTCACCATCCAGGACGGGCAAAACAAACAGCCTGGCATTAACTCCCTGGAGCCAGCCTACTGGATGGGGAGTCCTGCCCACCCCTGGAAGGCAGGGATGTATTTTACCTTCATATAAATCACCCAGAGCTGCAGCCAACACTTTATAAGCACAGGACTTGCCGCCCATCGGGTCTCCGACAATCATGAAACCATGTCTTACCAGCATCATCTCGTAGATCTGGGGGCGGGGGGCAGAGACATCACATAAGAAGTAAATATCAAGTAAACCTCCTGAACTACAAGTTAGTCATAACTCCATATGGAAGGTAGGGCCAGCAGGTGAGTCTCGTGGCCATTTCTACATCTGGTGAGCTACAGTCCTTTTTATGATCTATTATTTACGTATTTTTTGATAAATATATGTGCAAGCTTCAGATTATTTAAGCAATTGGACAAAACAAACAAACCTTTCCATCTCACTCATGGTGACACTATGTATGTCAGAGTAGAGCCGCTCTCCATAGAGCTTTTGATAATTATGATCTTTTGGAACTAGATCACCAGACCTTTCTTCTTAGGCACCAATGGGTAGACCTGACTCAACAACTTTTCTGTTAACAGCAGAGGGCTTAACTCTTTGTGTCACCCGGGTAGCCATTTAAGGGACATTAATTTTGGAAGTTGTCAAGTTGAATCTGACTCATGGAGACCCTGTGTGACAGGGTAGAATTGCACACAGAGTCACTCTGTTTGAGTTTTAAACTGCTTTATGGGCATATAATTCATATATCCTATCATTCAATAGCTCAATCACACCAGGAAGAGTTGTACAATCCTCACCACTGCACAGTGTTCTTGGCAGTAAAATCATTATGGAAGCAGATCACTAGGTCTTTGTCCTGCAGTCACTGTGCACTGCAACTGCCAACTGGGCTCCTTATTGAAGAAATGTTGGTCTTGTGTTTGCCTCGGAGTTGACTCTGACTGATATTGACTCTATAGGACAGAGTAGAACTGCCCCATAGTGTTTCTTGGACTAGTCTTTTCAGGATCAGCCTTCCAGGCCTTTTCTCCCCTCCTAGCCATTAGTGGTTTAAACCACCAACTTTTCAGTTAGCAGCCATGCAATTAAGTCTTTCATTCTTCAGGCTCCGTATTGAAGGATTGGAATTGCTATTTCCTCAGCAACTTTCTATGCTTAGCATCAGATGATTTACTCGGATGGTTTCACTTCATCTCCTTGGGTGTCATTAGCCATGTTTGGGAACTGATGGGCACACTGAGTCCAAGACAGGTCAGTTAAGTAGCTTGCCCCAGCTCATCAGTGGTAGAGCCAGGGTTTGAACACAGTCCCCTTCACCTGGAGGAAGACTTATCAACAACCTGCATTATGAAGATGATACAACCTTGCTTGCTGAAAGTGAGGAGGGTTTGCACTTGCCAATGAAGATCAAGGATTGCAACTCAATGTAAAGAAGACCCAAATCTTCACAACTTGACCAATACATAACATGATAAGTGGAGAAAAGATCAAAGTTGTGAAGTATTTCATCATGCTTAGATTCACAATCAATACTCCTGGAAGCAGCAGTCAAGAAACCAAGTGACTCATTGCATTGGGTAAATCAGCTGCACAAGACCTTTTTAAAGTGTAGAAACACAAGGATATTATTTTGAGGACTAAGGTGTGCCTGACCTAAGCCATGATATTTTTATTTGCCTCATGTGCATGATAAAGTTGGACACTCAATAAGGAAAAATTGATGTGTTTGAATTATGGTATACAGATGAGGAATGTTGAAAGTACCAAGAAGTACCAAAGAAGAACAAATCTGTCTTGCAAGACGTACAGCCAGAATGTTCTTTAGAGGCTCGGATGGTGAGACTTCATCTCATATACTATGGACAGGTGAGCAGGAAGGCGCAGTCCCTGGAAGAGGATTATCATGCTTCATAAAGTAGAAGTGCAGTGAAAAAAGGGGAGACCTGTCTCAGTGAGAGAGATTGACACAGTGGCTGCAACAATCAGCTCATGTCTCACAACTGGGAGGATGACTCAGGGCCAGGCAGTATTTTGGTCTGTAGGACATTGGGTCACTATGATTGGACTCCACTAGACATTTTTAGCAAATTTCTCTTCTGTTGAAACATCCCATCTCAGGGTTTAAATACTGTTCTGCCTCAGTAGATGAAAATGTATTTTCTGAGTTAGGCCTTGTGTTGTAAAGCACAAAGGACCTTTAAAACTTAACCTTGACAAGCAATAGCTCCGTGAAAGTCCATTTCTTGACTGATTTGACTGCTCCTCCCCTTACATTTATGTGGAATTATTAGTTTTTCTCTCTCTTTTGACTTGAAAAGCCCCTCAAAGAAAAGGGACACAACAAAAATGAGAATGCAAGGGGGCAGAGACACTAGATTTATGAAAACAGAACAACTAGAACACCTTTTACCACTGTGCCACAGATCCCTTGCATGGCATTTGACATATAACAGGATTACTCTATGAAGAAGGTTTTACAAAAATGATTATTAATCATTTTGAAGAAGGTTTTATTCCTTCTGTTTTGCATAGGGGAGTGAAGTTTAGACAGGAAAATTAAGTTGCCCGATATCCTACAGGAAAAAAAAAGTAATAGTAGTGGGATTTGATACAAAGTCTCTATTAATCCAAAATCTCTTCCTTCTCCAACCTCTTTCTGGAGACTAAAGCAGATGGCATGTAAGGTATCTTGGAGCTCTGGCCTATGATCCAGATAAAGAGCATTTGATGCTTATTTCACTTAATTTTTATTAACATGACACTTTAGTACGGTTTTCTAAGGTCAGGAAGGTAGAAATTTTTGTGGTGGCTTGCCCAGAAGTGCTTCTAATTTTTTTCCTGTGGAAATACCACTTGGTGACTCAGTTACTGGATTTTCAGTGGAAGTATGTGTGTGTATGCTTTATAGTTCAGGGTTTGTCTTTGTGATTGGTTCAGGGACGGTCATGTGAGTTTGTCAGAATGATTCCAACCTAACCCTGGAACTTCTGCTGAAACGACATGGAGAGTAAAGTTTCCTTTTCTTCTGGGCATGAACCTACAAAGGTCTGTCTAAGGTTCCTGGCGTTCCTTTTAAGGATGAAGTTATTGACTGTTTGCTCGCTTTACTTTTTTTTTTAACTCCAAGTTTACAGAATAGCCCATCAGCTTTACATTCCACAATTCATATATATTTTGTATGCATCGCAGCCCCCTCACTGTAGCATCACCTAGCCCACTTCGCCATGTTTCCTACTTCTTGTCTTTCTCCTTTCCTACCTCTCTGAACTTTGTCCGGGGTAAATGCCTACCTTCTGATCTTAAGCGGTTGGTTATAATAACACCAGAGTGAGTTCTGTTCCCCACTGCAAGGTGAACAAGGACCAGGGTCTTGGAAGCCCCACCAGTCTGTCCAACAACTATCTGGTCTCACTAATGATTCAGAGTTCTGTCTCATGTTTGTTTCCCAATAAGAATGAAGTCTTAACGTAGAGAGAGACCAGAAATGAGAAAGAGATGGCTGATGGCATTATCTAAAAACCTGGATTCCACCTTGTCTGAGGCTAGCCTATTTCTTGTTTGCAACCATCCGAATGGATTGCAACTCCATGTAAAGAAAACAAAAATCCTTAAAATTGGACCAATTGCAACATCATGATAAATGGAAAAAAGGCTGAAGTTGCCAAGGCTTTCATCTTGCTTGGCTCCACATTCAATATTCATGGAAGCAGCTGTCAAGAGTCATTGGGTACATTTGCTGCACAAGACGGACTTTGGGCCTCGACTCAAGGCCTCCCTTAACACAAGAACACTTTGTTCTGATAACCTGGGACTCTTTGATACTCACCTTCCCGACAAAATCGCTGAAGACAAAATGGATGCATCAACAAATGTCGTGAAGAGAGCAGATGGTGCCTGGCTAGCAAAAGTGTCTGGGGACTTAAAGGCTCAAAGTTAAACAAGCAGCCCTGTAGCAGGGAAGCAAATAAGTCCACATGAAAGAAGCACACCGGCCTGTGTGATCCAGAGATGTCGACGGGATCAGGTATCCAAAGATCCCAAACAAACAACTGTACTGTTGTGAATAAGGGGGGTTGGAGGGGAGACCCAATGCCCATCTGTAGACAACTGGATATAGCCGCACAGAAGGGTTATAAGGAAGGGGTGATTCAGCAAAGGTGTAGTATAGTACTGACAAATCATACATCATTCCTCTAGCTCCTGAATGCTTCCTTCCTACCACTACCTTGACCCAGTTCTACTTTAAAAATCTGACTAGACCAGAGAACACATATTGGTATAGATAAGAGCTCTCAACACATGGAATTCAGGACAGTAGTGGGAGTAGTGATATCATGAGGATAGGGAGATGGCCGGGAAGGGTGAAGGGGGAAAAAGGGGAACCCATCACAAGGCTGGATATATAGCTCTACCACCAAGGGGACAAATAACAGAAATGTGGGTGAAGGGAGACAATGGGCAGTGTAAGATATGAAATAATAATTATATATATATAATTGATCAAGGATTCACAAGAGTGGGAAGGTGGGGGAGGGAGGGGGAAAAGGAGCTTATACCAAGGGCTCAAGTAGAAAATGCTTTGGAAACCATGATGGCAACATATGTACAAATATGCTTGATACAATTGATGGAATGTTATAAGAGGTGTAAGAGCCCCCAATAAAAGTATTTTAAAAAACCAGCTGCACAAGGTGCCATAAGTCTTTGTAATTCTTGACTTTAGCAAACAGTAACATTCTAGAAGAGTACAAGGTACCAACCTGAATAATTTTTCCAATAAACCAAGGAACTGGCTGGAGTTTCATCTTTTGGATGTTTTTGTTCAGCACTTCCATGAAAATATCATAGTCTGGCTTTGGAAGAACAACTCCAGGAAACAAATCTGATATAATTCCCTATAATCAAGAATACAAGAGAAAGTGAAGATGAAGTGTCAGATATGTGATATCAACATTTTCCTTAAAAAAGACCTAACATTCTCAATGTTTCTTCCACAAAATATAGAATTATAAATGATAACATCCATAAAATGTGACCCTCCTCTGAAGTAATTATAAAAGTCAGCAAATACTTAATGAGGCCATTCTGTCTTCTAGCCCTAGAAATGTACTATAAACTAAGACAGTCATCATTTCTATCTCTACAGAACACCAAGCCTAGTAAAAATAAAATAATAAAAAAGATGGACATTAAAATAATAATAAAAGGAAATGGATTTAATTTGCTAAGAACAGCTACTGATTCCAACAGCAAATGCTATCCAATTATTGAAATCATTTCAATTAAAATCAGGAACTAGACACTGATGTTTGCAGTCACTAATCAAAAACAAGCCCATGCCCATCACGTTGGTTCTGACTTCTGGAACTCCCATGTGTTGCAGAGTCCAACTGTGCCTTCACAGGGTTTTCAAGGTTGTCATAGTTGGGAAGCAAATCACCAGGCCTTTTCTCTGAGATACCTCTGGGAAACATTGAACCTGCTACTTTTTAGTCAGTAGTCTAGCACTTAACAATCTGCACTACCCAAGGACTTCTTGCTGTCACCGTCCTTATATAACATTTGGGGGAGGGTCTTAAGCAACAGGGATATTGTCTAGACATAGAGAGGTCAGATGTTGGGAGGAAGCCAAAGAAAACATTTCCTCTTTAGACGCTGAGCTCCAGCAATTGGCAAGCTCCCACACCACGGCCTTACCTGAAATAGAGGGACATCTTGAGCCAAGAACTTGGCCAAGTTGACATCCAGCAAGGCCCGGAGCAGCAGGACGCTCTCATTCTCCCCCGGGTACTTGAGCTTCAGGTTGCCAGCAGCAGTGAGCACAGACTTGACGGCCCGCATGCCATAGTCGTAGTGGTGCTGGGAGGAGAGCTGCTCGGAGCACAGGCGGTAGGTCGCCACAATCTTCTGGGCGAGACTGAGAGAACAGAGAGAGGCACGCGCACCTCAGAGAGCACGCGGACTCACTCAGCAGACATTTCCAACACTCCTGTTCCTGCCCTTTCAGGAACCAGACTTGCCATGGATGGAGAAGCACTGTCATTGGAAGGTGTCTGACTTTTTCAAAAGTCTTTTTCTAGAATTGCCAGAATGGGCTAAGATAGCATTGCAACACTCTTTCCCAGTTAAGATCCCATAAGGTACGTTCAATGAATTTGTACACAAATATGAATACATGCATACACACAGTACTATGTGTATATACTTTATAAAATTAGCTTATTCCTAACAATTTTGCAGAAAAACAAATCACATATCAGACATTTCAATAGTCCAATCGCATTCATTGCAAGACTTGTGCAATCATCACCACCATCAATTCCAGGACATTTCTTCTTCCTTATAATTTTTGTGATTAGCTTCCCAGTTGTATACATTTTTTTATGTGTATAAATGTACACATGTAGACACACATACATAATATATACTGTAGATAGAATCACATACATGCATACTTTCATATGTCTATTTCATGCTGCCATGTATACATACACATGCATAAGACTTTCGGAAGAATTTATAAAATTACTAAAATTGTAAAATACTAAAGATAAAGACTAACAGAAAATGCACTTTCTTTATTTCTTGAATATTGCTATTTCTTCAATGTCCATGTTTTATTTTTTTAGTGAAGAAAACCAATTCAAAATGGAATATACTCAGCACATAAAACATGTCTACTCGTGTGTACATTTTTTATCTTTCCTTGGGACACAACCAGACCACCTTCCCCAGTCTCGCACGTATGTGAGTGTGGTCATTCTATTGAGTTCTGGCCAATGGAATGAAAATTAAAGGGAAGTATGTCACTTTCACAGCTAGCCCACAAAAGCTTTCTCCATGAGACTCTACATGCTCATGTCTTGTGATCATAAGATACAGGTAATGGGTTCCTGGATCATTCACTGAGAACTGTCCCTGATCAAAAATATCGATTTTGGATTTCTAGTCAGTGAAAAACAAATTTCTTCTATAAGCCATTCGATTTGGAGGTGAGGGTTAACCTAACTAATCTATCTCTACACAGTCCCCTGATGGGGACCTGCTTTATAAAACTGACTTATTATAAAAGCAAAGGGTCTCAGTGCTCACTAGCCCTAAGGGAGGTGCTCGATAAGTGTGTACCATTTGAATAAATAAACTGGATGGTCAAGCCTATGTAATCCAGGCCAACCATAGAAAAAAGGAAATTCCATACTACCGACAGTCCAAGACGATGTCTTGACCATTGTATCGAGACTTTCTATAGTCCCTTAGACAGGGCCAAGGGCCTTGAGAATAAATCTTTTGCAGCAAAAAATCAAGTGATTGTGGCCAAGGCAAGGGCTATGGAATTCAGAATAATCAATGTGAGCTATAAGCTACTTTATAATTAATATTCATCAGTCTTGGTGTGTGTGTTGTACATGCATACACACACACAAAGACACTGATGGGTGTGTGTGTGTGTGTGTGT